CAAAGAAAATTATAGGGATTGAGGTTAGGAGAGGATGGAAAGTGACCACCCCAAAGACCACAAAAGCTTTGTTTAAAAATAAAAATTTCCAGTAGGAAAGTAGGATGAGAGAGATAAAAGAGAATATTCTTAATAATGAGGACAGAAAAGTTTCAAAATACAAAGTACACAAATGACGTATGAACTCTAAAACCAGTTTAAAAGGCATTGAAAAACCAGAATACAATTTTAAACACAAGCTGTTCAAGACAAAGATATTAGCTTTCAAACTGATTTTGAGATTCCAAATTTTACCATATTACTTTGGAAACTTTAAATTCACAATGTATTTAACATCTTTATAACTCGGAGAAGACATGGAAGCAGCTACTCATTAGTTACCTAATTAATCAAACTTGTACAAATATTTTAGTGGAATTTCAGTCAGCATATCTAACTCAGAGTTATTCGGTCAATGCATTTTATTTTAAAAAATGATCAACAGCTAAAATTAAAGAAGAAAAATATAGGAGTTATTTTTACAGTATTCCTGAAAAAGTCCCAGCCTATAAGTCCCTATATACATGTCACACAGAGAAAATACTGTATTGTTTGGTATATTACCGAAGTTTCCTTGAACAAGGATAAAATGTATGCGAGTTTTTTGTTCTTCCCATTCTAAGTATGGAAAAATCGTAAGCACTGGTTGCAAAGCATATCATTAAAATACATTTTTAAAACTCTCTAATTTACTTATAGGAAGGAACAAATACGTTAAAAAAAGTTAGACATATTAATTTAACAGAGTTTATCCGAGCAAAGAACCATTTATGGATCAGACAGTCCTCATGACCAGAAGCGGTTAAGAAAGCTCCACTTTAGCAGCATGAGCAGTGACGTTTTATAGGCTGAATGTAGGCACGAAGTAAAGAAATTACTTGATTGGCTACAGCCAGACATTTGTTTATTTTAGGTACAATTCTATGAAATGTCCTTAGAGGATAACTCGCAGTTTTGACAGGTTTAGCTTACGTTTCATTTCAATCTTCACATTGGGCTTCAGCTTGCTTATGTAGGCATTCAAGGCATGGGAACTGTCTCAGACTAATGGCCTCTCAATTGAAATCATTTTTAATGTGAAGAAAACTAAAATATCTGAAATTTCTTATAAGGCAATCAAAACCAGATGACTAACTAATCGATGGCAAAGAAAGGATTTTTGAGTATCATTTGACAACATTTTGTTAGTAGCAGAACATATCCGAGTCACATGGCACCAAAGTATGCTACTGGTGGCAAATCCATATGGGTCTGCAGCAACCTCAGCCCCTTATGACTGAGGGGCCTAAAGCAGAAGCAGAGACTGAGACCAGTTTTAGAGCAAAAGTGAAAGTTTATTTAAAAGCTTTAGAGCAGGAACAAAAGAAAGCAAAGCACACTTGGAAGAGGGCTAAGCAGATGAGTTAAAAGACAAGTGCACAACTTGCCCTTTGACTTGGGGTTTTCTATGTTGGCATATTTCAGGGTCTTGCATCCCCTGTGCCCTGATTCTTCTCTTTGGATGGGATGCACCCATGCACAGTGGCCTATGAGCACGTGGGAAGGAAGCATGCGCAGTGTAAGGTTTACTGGAATTTTCGGTATGCTTACTTGAGGCATTCTTCCCTCACCTATCAGATATCCTTGGGAGTTCATATACAGGTTGAACTCCGTCATTTTGCATCTTAATGCACATGCTTGAGCCCGCTTACCCAACTCCTGGGATCTTATCAGGAAGCGCTGATCACCAGTTTCAGGTGTTTTCCATCTATTGGGAGGCTGCCTTTCCCTAGTGCTGGCTGTGACCAATTATTATTTTAGAGAGACAGTTAACTGCCTGATGACCTGACATGCCGGGTGCCTGTGGAGCAGGGGAGTCCTCTCCTGCCCTGTTCATATCTCACCAGCTACCTACAATAATAATTTGATTTAGTGAAATAACAAAAATTAAAGCTATGCTCTTTATATAAACATTTTACTCTTTTAGATTAAGATTTGATAAAATAAACTTTTCTAATTAAAATGTTATCTTAATACAATTAAGACTAAGACTACATTCTTATAAAACAAGCAGTATCATCATACTATTTCTAACGAGAAAAACTGTAAAAAGCATTGTTTTAGAATTTAGTAATTCTGTAAATCAAAGCAAAGTAAAGTACATACTAGCAACTAAATGATAGGTTGTATTATGGTACTTTAAAACATAAGAGAGCGCAATGATGTCGTGAACAAAAAATAGAATAAAAGTTAAATCTGAGGATCTATTTCTGGTTCTGGCATCAGTTAAACAAGTGGCATGGGTATGTTATTTAGACAAATAGCCCAAATATTATCATCACTAACAGTAGCAGATAGCTAAGGGTTATTGCAACTCATGTCTGTACACGGGAAAAATTATTTTTTCTTTACCTTTCATAGTTTTATACTGGGCTTTCTG